ACAACTTCATCTGTCTGGTTTTTGACGATCACAACCTTTCTTACTCCTTCTTCAACATAACTGTAACTGAGTGGAAATAAAATTTTTGCAACTCTCTGCTGTATGGGAATTATTTATACAAATTTTGTAATTAGTATCTTATACCATTCCTAAAGGAATTTAGAAAGTAGTGAGTTATAACTTCATTTGAGTGGGGGTAATTCTTAGAAAGAGAAAGAAATAGTCACACATCCACTCAACTGGTATTTTGACCTATGATGACTTACTATCTAACTGTCCCATACAATTCGTCTCATTAGCTTAAATTCATAATTGGGTCTTTTTTGACACCTGCAAGGGAGTGAATACAAATTTATCTTTGGACCGTAACGATTATTTTCCATCCCATTATGCACTGAAGACAGTGGCCATCAACAAATTAAATAGTACTATCCTATAGGAAGGACTGTAATGAGTTTTATTTTCCGTGTGTGTGTGTGTGTGTGTGTGTGTGTGTGTGTTTTAAAACAGAAGCAAATGATCGCTTTGTCCAAACTTTTAAATCTTCATTCACTGATTTAATGTGAGGAAAGGGGAAAATGGAATAGAACCTGGCCAAAATTTGGAAACTAAAGCTGCTTTTCAAAGTTGTGAGCCTAGAAAAACATTTGACTTCTTGACTAACAAAACTGTCTGATTGTACAATTGCAAATTAATGGTTATTATGCAAAGTGTCTTTCACAACAAGCGTAGAAAAGAAAATTTCTAAGAAAAAGAGGGAAATTAGGTAACTAGTCTATGTATTTCAGAAAGTACAGAAGAAAATGTCACGTCTGGTGGATTTTTTAAAAATTCACAAACAAAACAAAACTCCATTCATGTCTCACTTGGAAATGATGACAGAAACAGGATGTACGGAGTTTAAAAACCAAGAAAAAGTAAAACTCGGCTGGAGATTGCTGGCAGAAAAGTCGAGGCGGACGAAACGATTAAAGCAACCCATCCAAGGTTAGCACAGGAAGACAAAAGAGCACTTCACTCACGTAGCTCCCCGTACAAGGACTAGATTTTTTTCCTGCTTTGGCTGTTAAAATCCTTTTTAAACCCTCTGAATGCTCATGAAACTTCGTTTTGTTACCCCAAATTATTTTCTTCTCTGAAGTACTTGCAAAATTTCTCGCAAAATTTAGCTTCTAGTTATGGGCCGTTCTGTTGTCTGTTGGTTCCATACATGTCATCTTCACTGTACAGACAGGTCGGGGAGCCAGAGGCAGGCGGTCATTCCTTAGTAACCGTGGCCTTGACTGTGCTCAACATCCATAGGACGCGAGTGGCCATGCCGCTGCATTTCCATCAAATGATGCCTCACCTACTTGTCAGTTAAGTTCCTTTCTGAACCAGAGTGTCATCAACTGTAAATAGGGACAATGAAACCATCAACCTCCTGGCAGTGGGCAGGCTGGGTGGAATCATTCGCAAGAGCACCTGTGGCTCTAGACATGGAAGTCGCCTGCTCCACACACATTTGCCGACTGCCAAGGATAATTCTGAATCTTCCACCATGTCCAGGGACAAAATGTCTCCAATCTGAATTCGGGAAGTCACATATTTTTACAGCTGCAGGTTTATGCAGATGGCCTTTCCTTGTCTGGAGAATCTACTGTATTCGGTGGATTCTTTTTCACTCACACTAGAGCATCCTGAAGCTCAGCATGTGTCTTACAATCCAGCCTTCCAGGTAGCTGAGGGAGGTTTTGTTTTGTTATTTTAGAGTCAATTAGACCCAGCATGAACTGGTTGATTCTTTTGAAGAAAGAGATTTTAGAAAGAGAATTACATACTCAGAAGCCTCTATCTCTTTTTCTTGGTTGCTCCTCATGTTTTTAACTCTGCCCAGTAAGCCCCACCCTTAAAGGGCCACCATCATTATCCTTTAAATGTTCTGGCCAAGGAGATACTGCTAGTTTTACCATGTAAATGGTTTTGGAAGCTACATGACACCATTTCAAACTGATACCACTTCAAACCGATACCTGGTACTCTGAGGGTAGAAAGTTAAAGTTATTCGAGCCCTCTCACAATTAAAACGTCTATTTGGTCACAACTGTCCTGGAAAGCCTTAATACTATTAATATATGTCTTGATTTTCCCAGAATGTTTTTCAGTTTTGCCTGTTGTCCCAGCTTCATTATTAACAGCAACTCCTTTATCCTCAGGAGTACTCTGATTTGCATGATGGACGATATGATCACCCAAGGTGAAGACCAAGGTAGGGCCAGAATTTTGGGTTTTCATGGCCTGTATTATACTTTTGTCTTTGTTATTTGTAACCCCGGGCTTCTTGTCAACTAGTCATTTGTGAGGTTCAGGCAGAGCTCATTGCTGCACGTTGATTATACAATGAACAAGAGAACACGCTCGGCCCTAACTCATGGACTTACAACTCAGGAGAGCAAACTGGCATTAATTAATCACACACCACAAATGTCACAACACCTCAGGAGAAGTACAAGACACTCTGATTATGCACACAAGGAGGTGAGTGGGCCTTGTAGGCAGTAGAAATGCACCTGAACTGTTTTTGATCCCAGGGAGATGTCATCTCAGTTGAACCCAGCGTTCAAAATGTCATTGTGTTTGCCTTCCATTCATTTGCTGGGATGAGGAGATGTGTCAGTACAAAGGGGCCTTTCTGAAGGCAGGCACAAGTAATAATTGTGACTGTGTAAAGGGCAAAGAACAGAAAGTTAATCCTTGGTTTCTTACTAAAGTGGCAAAGTGATGGTGGGAGCAATAGACAGGGAGAGAAGACAGAACAACGGTATTTGGGATTAGTAATCTCCTCGAGGGTACCAATGGTATTGGGCTTTCTACTTTGTTTTGATTTGGGGTTTGTCTCCGGAATTCCTTTAGGAACAGAGTTTTAAGCATACAGCAAAAATACTCAGAGCATCTTGACTTGTGATGACTGGGGACAGAAGCCCAGAGAAGGAAGGTGCCGGACCCAGAATCAAGCAGAGAAAGGAGAAGGTTAAAAGCCTGATTGCCCATAGTTCCTGTCTCCTTTCTGAGATCTATAATGTCAGCAACGAAAACAGACTGTGGGTGGCAATCTAGGGGAGGAGGCCTGGGCATGGAGGCTCCGGGAGGGACTCCGTAGGCTACAAATAAGCCGAGTTCTGCGAAAGCCCTGTGGGAGAGCAGAAAGCAGTGTGGGAGCCAGTGAGGGAGAAAGATCGCCCGTGAACAGGATTTCAGTTATTGACAAAACGCCAGGTGTGTAAATTTACTTCCGAGAACCTACATCATGATTCACTGGCCTGCTTTCCATTTATCTGTTTTTCTGAAGAGCACACTTCCAATATAAATAGGCCCTTCCAAAGACAGGAAATTAAATAATAATTATGGCAGTGTACAGGGCCAAGGCAAAAAAAAAAAAAGTCCCATGGTGCCTGCACAGAGAATCTATAAATTATTATGTTACCTCTTCATCCACAGGCTCTGCACTAATCCAGATACATTCACAAAACTGTTAACTACTGTTGGGCAAGTATTTTATCCAGCCAAATTTTTACTAAATGAGACATAATTGTACTTAATTACTCAGCCAATTCTTCAAGGATTAGCGATGACAGTGGTGGCCACATGTGTTGATGTTTCATTTAACGATGTGTCATTAATTAATGCATGTATTCCATGTGTGTCGTGAAAGCAAGCTGGGGTAGTAGACAGAGCTTCCACCAGGATCAGTGAGAACTAAGTGTAAATCCTGGCAATGCCACTGTCAGCTACTTGTCTTTGGCAAATCCTTGAGCCACAGTCTTCTAATCTGTGTAATGAGAACACTATAATGCTGTGGGGGGAGTCCCCCTTCAGTTTTGAGAATTTAATAAGAGGCCATATGGAAAAGTACTTGGCAGTGCCTGGCACGTCATCAGGAAATAGTAGCTCCCTTGACGATTAGCTTCAAAATTCCTACCAGTAACCTGAATGATAATTTAAGGTCTCCTAATCACAGTTTTCTTGTATTTAGTACTGGTCTAACTATATCTGTTCTGATCACTTATCACACATTATTACGGAGATCAAGTGAGATATCATATAGGAAGTCATCATTAAAGCTACCAACTCCTTTACAAATGGAGTGTTATCTTTTTCCCTCTATCATCTGTTCGGGTTTATAGCTGCTTGGTTACAGTTCACCCTTAAACAACATGGGTTTGAACTGCATAGGTCCACTTATACATGGACTTTTTTCTAATAAATACACAGCTGGCTGTTCTTATCCCAAGGTCTGGCACCTGTGGATTCAACCAGCCATGGATGGGAAGCAGTACTTTCTGTCTGTCTTCGGTTGGGAAGCCTCGGATGCAGCTAGCAGACTATATGCATTGTTCTGTGCCATTTTATTTAAGGGACATGAGAATCTCTGAATTTTGGTATCTGAAGGGGGTCCTGGAAACAACTCCCCCGCCTCCCCCAGGATACTGAGGAAACTGAAGGACCACTGTTGTTAAGTTTATGGGGAGTCAAAAGTTCTATGCAAATTTTCATTGAGTTAGGGGTCAGCACCCCTAACCCCTCCCTCATTGTTCAAAACTCAACTGTGTTTGTTCATCTTTATTTAACACAATGTCCCAAGTGAAAGAGACACATCGCTCCTGCTGACAGGCAGATGTTAGGACTCAGATTTTCTTCCCAGAGAATTTCCTTCCTAGAACTTCCTTCATCTCTATTTCAAGTCACTCATGTAGTGTTCACTGAGTTCCTGTCTGTCACCTTTCTCCCTGTCTAGGCTGAGTTAGAAGATAGCACCAATATTCATTGATTCTGGTCCTGGCCACAATGTGCTTAGTTGTTTTGTCTTTTACTCTGCAAAATAAGGACAAAAACCTGCCTCAAGGGACTGATGTAAGAATTAGGTGAGGGTTAGGTGTCGTGGTCAACAAGGACCTGTTGAATGCAGCAGGCTGTGAATTCTCCACACTCAGTGCAAGGCTGTCCCCTTGGACTTGACTGACCTGTGGATGATGCGCTGGCTCTGCAGGTAGTCCAGGGCCATGGCCAGCTCACAGATGAAGAGCTTCACGGTGTCTTCCTGGAAACGGACATTCTGCTGCAGGTGGTAACGTAGGTCCCCGCCCAGCAGGAGGTCCACCACCATGAACATGTCTTCCTCATCTTGGAAGGAGTACCTGGAATAGCATCAGCAATGAAAATGCATCTAATACAGTTACACACTAAAGAGTCCCAGAGGCAAATGTCACCCTACCGGTCAGAGCAGAGTGCTGTTGAGCTAAGAGGTCGTCTATTCCCAATAGATGGTCTACCATTCACTCTATGACCCTGGGCCCTCAGTTTCCACAGGTGTAAGATGGGAATAATAAGAATATCTACCACCTTTGATCACAGGAAAGAATAAAGTATAACATCTATATCATGCCCAGTGTATAGTAGGTACTCATTAACTGTTAGCTTCAAAAGCTATAGAGCCAAGGAAATAAAGAAAACCTCATGTATTCACTTACCATTAACAATCACGTCCTAACCACATTGTTGCAAGAGGTGCATAAAGTGTGGATTACGAGGCCTCCTTGAAGCATTCTCATGCCCATTTTTTCCATGCTAACAACTTCATTGCCCAGCAACATTATGAGAAATCATGTACCAACATTAATGATAAGAAAAAAATATAAAAAGGGTAACAAAGAAGAAAGTAAACGGTACAATAAAGTAATGTACCCAGTGTTTGGGATGGGGAGGTGATGGAAAGCTTCTCAGCAGAGGTAAAACCTGAGCTGACTTCCAGAGGATGGTGACAATATTAACTAAAAGTGAGGCTGACAACTGCTGACATTTCTACTGAGTGCCTTAGCTAGGGCAGGCTCTGAGGCATTCGACAGTGTTACCCTGTCGGTCCCACAGTGCTGCTCTTATGCTCCCATTTTACCAAAGAGAAAATCAAAGCTCACTGAAGTTCAAGTAACTTGCACAAGGCCAAGTGCCCAACACATGGTTGAGCTGAAGGGTTCTCCAGGCCCAACAGTCAAGTTTGGAAGAGAAAAGTAGCATGTATTAAGCATAGACATGGGAAGAAAACAGTGTGCGTGGGGAAAGGAAACAGTTTGGGTTTTCTGGAATCACAGGTGTGATGGGGAAACCTGAGCCTGGAGAGGAAGGCAGAGGGCAGACCCAGGACAGGAGCTCATTCAGAACCTATAGGTGTCGTCAGGGAGACATTGAAGGGCTCTAGGCAGGACCCATGATCAGACACGGGCTTCACACTTGAAGAAGCATGACAGGATGGAGGCTTGGGAAGAGGAAATGAGCCACAGGAGAGCAGAGAACTCTGCTATTTGCAGAAAACTTCCTGTAAAGGTGCATTCCTACTGCTTTGATTGGTTTTTGTTTCCCTCAGCGGGTTCTCATCACAGACGAGCTCTCTGCATCAACACTGTTTTGACATGTTTCTTTTGACATCATGTCACTGAAGTCACATGTTTGAGTTTTATTTGAATCCAAGAATTAAGTGTCTGCAAGTGGTGTCCGGGGATGCTAACCAGCAAATAGTGAGGGACTCTGTGCTTAGGAAACAACTGCAGAGTGCAGGTGGGAGTGATGAGAGAACTGTATTCGGTACATTTTCTTCCTTATCATGAACATTGTGCTAAAGGGTAAGGAAGAGACTTGAAAACAAATGAAGAAACAGAAATTCCATGAAGCATTCATCTGAGGCGGTAACATTCTAATGAGGAGTAACTGTCCTGATGTTTACTTGTTCAATAGGGAGAACTGTGGTTACCGTGGAAGACTGAGTCACACCGAAGATGTCAGGAATTAAGCTCTTGGGGGCAATTTAGACAGAAACACAGGAAGTGCTTTGTAAGCACCCGAGAAGCACATCTTTGGTATCGCCTGTTAGGAAATGATATTCTTCACCTCGGTGCAATGACGGGCTGGTGGTCCCTGCCATAGGTTTAGTGGGCATCAGTAAAGGTGCCTGGACCTGGGCTATTTGGTTCATAATCTTTCCAGCTGCGTCACTAAAAATGGTATTTGTTGTGTTTGACAGTTTTTTCAGTAAGCAACAAGGTGCTAACTAACATGTAATCAGGCCTGGGACCTGTTGTACCTTAGAGCCCTCTTGGCTAATATAATAGAAACAATGATTGTTCATGGGATGTGAGCAAAGCCTTTTGGGATGGCCAATGAATGGGGTAGGGATGGAGAGATGGACGAGGACTGGGTACCAAAGGAAGAGAGAAAAGAGTGCCATCTATAATCATATTTAGATGCCAATGGAAACAACCTACACAGATGGGGTTGGGATTCAGACCAGCTGTGACCACGTTCAGCTCCCCATTGGAGGCGGGTGGAGGGCAGAAATCAGGTAACAGACTGGAGGACGCTCTCCCATGACTCCTTTTAACACGACATGGGAATAATGGTTTTAGTAAACTCACCCCGAATGAACAAAATTTTTCACTGGAACTTGGGCTAAGCTATATCTATTCAAAGAACAGACTGAAAGAGGTGCCCATTGTGGCAAGATGACAGCCTTGCTCAACCATGCAGGGGGTGCTTAGTCGAAGTAAAAAGAAGCCAAGGCAAGAGGCAACCTGCTTCCCTTGCCCAGCGTGAATATAAATTTATTTAATCATAGAGCCAGGTTTGGCTGTTAAAAATCGTCTTCCTCCTTCAGCACATCAGATCTGAAACTATCTCAGATCTTAAACTCTCAGTGGGAATTTAAGTATTTCATTTTCCAGAACTGTACCCAGCACAATATGTGAGTGTAACCCAGATTGGTGATAACTAGAATATGCAAGTTCATATCATCATCTGATTTGTTTTTTTAAAGAAAAGATAAGAGCTTTTTTGTATCTTGGCCTTTCAGCACAGAGACTCACGGTTGCATTTCTGTAATTTTGTTTGGTATGTTATGTTGTGGTTTATTTATTTCTTAGTTGACAGCTCCAGAAAGAGCAAGTCCGGCCCCAGTGCTCAGTAAGAGGAAATAAGTAACAAGACCACCACCCTACCGTGCCCAACTCTACCATGTTTGACCCAGACTATTGCAATAGACTATTCATAGCTCTCTCTGCATAACCCCGGACTTCTCCAATCATTCTGCACCCCAGTTACATGTTTAAAATGTGAGCCTTACGTTATTCAGCCTTGTAAAACCCTTTCCTCTCTTCCCATGGTCTACAGGACCCTGGATGGTCTGACCCTGCATTTCCAGACTCACCTTGAAGATCTTTTCCTTTCATTCCTCTGCTAGCTCCTGCCTTCCTCTAGCCTTAGAAGCTTGTGACGTGGTGTGCCCTGTGCTGTCCACTGCCCGGTTACTTTCTATCCACCTTCCAGTCTCAGCCCAATGGCCAATTCCCATGGGGACATTTCTCCCTGTCCATACCAAACCCCGGCTCCGTGATAAGCAATGATGTTCTTGTTCACAGAGCTTACCGTGATTTGAAAGAATCTCCCTGCGTGCTTTTGGATGAACTGTTTTCATCCCCACTGTGCTACCAGAATGCGTGCCTGCTTTTACTCATCCTTGACCCCTTAGTACCTGTCTCAAGTGTACACTCTACAAGTAGCTGGAGAAAAATTTAATAGTTGTAGAAAAATAATACATGAATAAATGAACTAAAGAAGGGCAAGAGAAAAGCAAGGTTAACACACAAGTGTCAGGCGGGTCTGTGATACATTCCCTAAGCTCTGTTTTAGAAATGAACGTTGTTACCAAATCTGTTCAGAGAAATCACATGCTTGAAGCGGCCTCATGGAGGCCATCTTGAGCTTACCCTGAGTCTGAGCGTTGAAAAAGATCTAGAATATTCGCCAATGCAGTGTTTTTCAACTTCTGGCTCATCACTCATTAATGGGTTGTGAGATCATTTTGGCTGTTTTTGTTGTTGTTTTAAGAAATAAGATAGATTGACTCACATAGAGTAAATGCTATTAACATGTAAAGCTAAACATTGTCCATGACACATTTGTTCTTGGGAATACAACGTGTGTCTCTGTGTATCTACTGGGTTGTGATGAAAAGTATCTCTCTGTGGGTCACAGTAAAACCCCAGTGACAAGGGACGCTGCTGCCTGTCTGCCAAATCCTGACCGAGACTCCTCCTAAGCGAGGGTCGGCTCTTACATCTCCACCTAGCAAAGCAAGGGAAACACATGGCTCATATTAGTAATTGCTTCTAAAAGCTATTAGATTTTGGAGAAAAAGACTTTGATTGATTTCAAAGATAGAATCCACTAAAAAAACACACTGAAGGAAAATACAAGTAGAAAATACACAGGCCTCAGGCAAGCCTGGGTTAAATATCATGTGTGAATTTAGAGCAAGTCCCTCAAAGAGAACTCAGAGAGGATATCTGTACGTGGGGAATGATTTTATGCACCGCATAGCAAAGAGTAAAGTAGGTAGAATGTCTGAAAAGTATTTAGCACAAAGCATGGCACATAGCATAGTTGTAAAAAACTTGGTCCTGAAGCCAGATTGCTTATGTTCAAATCCCATGTCTTCCCTTTAACATCTTTATAGCTGGAGCAAATTACATAAGCCCTCAGCCTCCCCATCTATAATGGTATGTTCCTCATAGGGTCGTTGGGAAGATTAAGTGAGTTAATACATACAAATGGCTTATAACAGTGCCTGGAAGATATCAAGTAAAGGGTGTTAGCTATCATTATAATTACCTTTCTTCTTCTACCCACACATGTAAGATAGTTCTAGTATTAAGCAGATAAATTTGTTTTATGCAGGTGTTCTTTATTCTTTTATGTAAGGTAATTATATAGAGATGTTTATTGTCATTGGTATAATCAACTTGGTTCCCATTTACTGAGCTCTTACTATGTATCAGACATGATGCTAGGTACTTTATGTGTATTACTGCATTTTATTGTTACTATAAACCTATGAGGTAAGTAATATCCTTATCCCCATTTATCCTGATCATAAGAGTTCAGGTTTAATCCTTCAAAAAATTAGCAAAGCAAATCCATCAACCTATTATAAAATTATATGCCATGACCAAAAGGGATTAACATCTGAAATCAATCCCTATAATATATCATATTAATAGAATAAAGTGCAAAAATATGATCATCTCAGTCGAACAGGAAAAGCATTTGACCAAATATAGCACCCATTCATGATAAAAACTCAACAAACATG